TGGATGTGTGACCAAACTTCCTGAGGAGATGCAACACCCACCCCGGATACGGAGCCAAGGACAGAACCAAGTGGGGACACCACCACAGTCCAACTTGGTAAGCCACTGAGTTTTGTTGGGGTTACTGAGAGGAACTGCATCACCAAGGCCACCCCAGCATGGGTGACAGCTCACAAAGCTGGAAACCTGGAGCGCACCGCACCGTCTGCAGGCAGCTCAGCAGGTTGGGGAGTGTCCCTTCAAGTGACTCAGTTGGTCTAACCCTCTCCAGCAGCACAGCTGATCGCTGCCTCTTTCAGGCAGCTGGCCTGGTCTGCGAGTCTTTAGAGCTTGGCTGCACTTAGTTCCTCTCAGCTTTGTTTATTCTGACAGGGAGAGACCTAGTTTATTTTGTGTTCTTTGGTTTTCTGCATGGTCTCAGAGAAAATGGATACACGACGCGATATAATAGAAGTAAGAAGTATTATGGGCTGGCAAGGCCTTAGGTGGCCTGAGGGAAAAGTATCTGGAAATGGCACTGGCTGCATGTGACTGTAGGAGGGGTGGCAAGTTTCCTAAGGCTGGAAGTAAAGTAAGAGGTGTGTGGCCTTTAGGCCTCAGATTCTCCAGTGTTTCCTCTGTGAAATGGGGCTAGTCACATTCATACCCCAGAGGCCATTATGCTAATTAAATAAGATAATGCACCCTAGAAAAGCATGGTGGAGTCAGGCAGTGGTGGCTCACACCTTTAATCCCAGTACTCAGGAGGCAGAGGCAGGAGGATCTCTGTGAGTTCAAGGCCATCCTGGTCTACAGAGCGAGTTCCAGGACAGCCAGCGCTACACAGAGAAACCCTGTCTCCAAAAAAGAAAAGAAGAGCATAGTGGAACACATGTGATCTTAACACTTCAGAAACTGAAGGCAGCAGGATTGAGAGCTCAAAGACAGTCTGGGACAGGCAAGAGCCTGTCTCAAAGCAAGCCAGGTGTGTAGTGGCACACATCTTTCACTTGGAGGCAAAGGCAGGCTCTGTGAGTTTGAGGTCAACCTGGTCACAAAGTGAGTACCAGGACAGCCAGGGTTAAGTAGAGAGACCCTGTCTCAAAAAACAAACAAAAAGACAATAGAGACATAAACATTATATTGAAATCTTGGTGTATAGAAAATTTATTTGCTTGTATATTTATTGAGAGACAGGCTCCTTCCTTCCTTTCTTCTTTTCTTTCTGTTTGTTTTTCAAGACAAGGTTTTTTATGTGTAGCCCTGGCTCTCTTGGAACTCAATCTGTAGACCAAGCTGGCCTCAAACTCAGAGATGGCCTGCCTCTGCCTACTGTGTGATGGGACTAAAGGCGTGCACAGGCTTGGGTCTTTTCTTTATTGTCCAGGATGACCTTGAATTTTAAACCAAGGCCATAGGTTCTCATAATCTTACCATAGGTCCCAGAGTAGTTTGAGACTACAGGTGTCTGTCATAATACTTCTGTCATCACAATAATAGTTTATTTTGTGGGGGAGGGAGCAGGGATATTTTGTTTCAACCCTTTAATGCTTTTTTTTATGCTGGAGATTAAACCCAAGTCATTTCACATGCTTGGCAAAAACTATCCTCGGCCCCCTGTTTATTTTGAGATAGGGTCTCACTCAGTTGCCCAGGCTAGCCTTGAACAAAAGATCCTCCTGCCTCAGCCTCCTGAGTGCTGTGATTAAAGGTGTGCACCACCATAGCCCGGCTACAATATCTCTTTTTTTATCTAGTCTTGCCTCTGTTCTCATGGTGGTGAAATGTGTGGGACCAGTTCTGGGCTGGTGACAACCCGCATCCCTCGACTTCTCCCACGGGCCTGACCACACTTCTCCCTGCCTCAGCCCTTCCCACAGCACTCTCTTCCCTAGACTCTCCCTACCTGATTTCCCTACAGTTCTATCTTACAAGCATGTCTGTGAGCCAACCTCACGGGGAGGTAACTTTCAGGGGCTCCCCTAAGTGAATTGCCAGCACCTTTCCTGCTTTTGTTTTCTGTCTTACATTACAGTTACTGTTCACTTGTGCTGTAGTTCCCACAGTCAAGTACTTCACAAGCTCTGACTGTTCATTCAGTGAGTCTTTATTGAGTACTACTTTTGTGCCAGGCACTGTCCTAGATGCAGTAAATACAGCAACGGACCAGCCAAACAAAAACCCTGGCTCCCCCCGCCAAGGAGCTTACATTCTACTTAGGGAGATGGAGGGAGACAGATAATACATACAAAAATTAGAATAAATAGTAAGTTATATGGCCCCTGAGGTGATACATGCTGTTTTAATCACTCTGGAATCTGCTCAATACCTGAATATAAAAGTACTCATTTTTTTCAATGTATTTGTTTACTTATTTAGTTTTGTAGTGCTAGAGATCACACCTAGGGACTTGCAAATGCTGGCCTCAAATGCATGATTCTCCAGCCTCAGTATCCACGGAGCTGGGGTTATGGGCATGCATACCAGACTCAGACACCTCAAGTTACTTTTTTTTTTCTTTTTTGAGAAGAGGGTCTCACTATGTATCCCTGACTGGCCTGACTATGTAAGCCTCTCTGGCCTTGAACTCACAGAGCTCTGTCTGCTTCTGCTTCCTAAGCACTGGAATTAGAGGCACTGTGCTCTCTCTCTCTCTCTCTCTCTCTCTCTCTCTCTCTCTCTCTCTCTCTGAGAGGGTCTCTGTGTAGCCCTGGCTGTCTGGAACTCTCAATGTAGACTAGGCTGGCCTAAAACTCACATCACAGAGAGCTGCTGCCACGGTGCTGGGATTAAAGGGGTGCACCACCAGGATTCTACTATTTGGATGCTGCCATTATGAGCATACAACACCAGGCCAGGTTTATGTGGTGCTGCGTTTCAAACCCGGGGTTTTGTGTATGCAAGGCAAGCACTCTCTACCAATTGAGCTATATCCACAGAATCCACCCCCTCACTGCCAAAACTTTTGAAGATTCTGTTTTGCTGTTTGTGTAGTGCAATGTCCTGAGACTCAGTGGAGGAGGGTTGATGTCATTTATACTGTCCTGCCAGGGAGAGCACAGACCTTGAATCCCGATGAGTTAGGGACAGCAGGCCTTCTGTAGAGCAGCTGGTGGTCAGGACCTGGTGGGCATCCGACTTCTATCCACCTGAGCTGAGATACTAGCCTGTCACTGAGGAAGCGAGGTTAGTTACCTGGTTTGGCCACCAGGGGTCACTTTACCCTTGTAAATCACCAACTGAAGCCCTCCTGAAGACACAAAAGGCCCAAACCTTAAATGAAACTAAACACTTGGGAAAGCTCTCTGAAATGGGAGACACAGGGACACAGTGCATATAGGACACATACATAGCAGCAATTCTCAATGTCAGGGTCTAAAAATGTCACAGCACCAATTCTGCAACCCCTCTCAGCAACTTTACTCACTGCTTGGGCAAAGGAAGAAAACCATTTTCCTAGCCTCCTGCTTGTTACGTAGACAGTAGACAGGCTCTAACTATCCTCCCTTCTCCCTTCCTTGTACAGTCTTCTCTGCTGGGTGAACACCGTTCCTTTTCCTTCCCCAGAAATGCTCCACCCTGGCTCTGAGTGTGTCTGGCTTTATACCCAACCCCCAAACCCCACTCCCCACCTCCAGGCTCTGCTCTGGTAAAGTCCAAGATATGGTACATTTGATGTACAGTTCCTACCTGTCCTCCGGAAAGTCCTGAGCCTTAGGAACCACAATTAGCAATTAGCTGATCAATGCCCTCATCCCAGAGACATAAAAATAATGTCCTAGACTAAGTTAGATGTCACTCTAAAACTTTAGAGCTAAGCGAGCCATCTCAAAGTGACCCAGAGACCAGCTCTTTAAGGAAGTCCTTGAGGTCAAAACTATATTCTTAATACTCACATGTCCCTTGTCCTTTTCACACTCATCCTCTCATAGAAGTTTCTGTGACGACATTACTGCTCTTAGCTAAACGGAATGCATAGTGCATGCCTCTGTTGTTGTTTTGTTTTTTTGAGACAGGGTTTCTCTGTGGCTTTGGAGGCTGTCCTGGAACTAGCTCTTGTAGACCAGGCTGGCCTCGAACTCACAGAGATCTGCCTGCCAAGTGCTGGGATTAAAGGTGAGTGCATGCCTCTGTATCTCCACGTTTCGAAAACATGTTAACCTTAATTTATAACATGGCAAGCATCACAAGAAAAGAGAAGAAACAAAAGCTCTTCCGATCCTCCAAGTTTTGCATAAAGGAAATGGGGACCAAACAGTTTGAGGTCTGACACTTGATTGCAAAATGTTAAGGGTCAGAGAGGGAGAGGGGAATGAGAAGAGATGTGAAGGAGAGGAGAGGGAGGGGAGAAAAGCGAGGGAGAGAAGATGAAGGGAAGGGAAGGAGGGGGACAGAGGGGGTGTGGAGAGGATGGATGAGGAGAGAGAAGCAGAGTGTTGGCTGTGTAGAGAGAGCCTCTCTCAAAAAAATAAAAATTCCATAAAAAATTGACTATAGCTGGCATGGTGTGCAGCCTTAGAAAGCACTGTTAACAGGAGGACTGAGAGTTTAAGGGTGGTGGCAGTGGTGGCAGTGTCTTTAACACCAGGAGGCAGAGGCGGGCAGATTCCAGTGAATTCTTCTAGGCAGGACAGCCAATGCTACACAAAAATTGTTTAAGATCAAAGCCAGTCTTAGTGGTACACACCTTTAATCCAGCACTCAGGAGGTAGAGGCAGGAGGATCACTGTGAGTTTGAGGACAGTCTGGTCCACTGAGTGAGTTCCAGGATAACCAGTGCTACACAGAGAAACCCTGTCTTGAAAAACAATCCCCCCCCCAAAAAAAAACCCAAAAGAGAATTCAAGGCCAGCCTCTGCTACATACCAAGTTCAAGGTCAGCAAAGTCTATAAGGGGGGGATGGAGGGAAGGGGGGAAATGAGACAGAATGGACAAGGACCAGAGTGGAAGGAGAAAGGATGACTAGAAAAGGGACCAAGAACTAGATTTGAGAGGGACCCAACCCACTCCTCTGCCTTGTCCCAACCACCTCATACTGGGTGTCAAGTCTAAACTGCTACAAGTCACAAAACAGGTCAGTGCAAGTCAAATAAAACTTTGTATTTGCCTCCCACCTGCGCAGGGAAACCAAGTGGAAGTGAGGGCTGGCGCCACGGTGTGCACAGCCCTCAAGTCAGAACAGAAGGCCGTGGCGGGGGCTGGGATGGAGTTCAGTGGGAACGTCTGGCCCAGCATGTGCAGGCAGTGGATTCCAAGTTCCACCACCAGCCCCGAGTTTTGCTTTGTTTTTGAAGATGACAGATGAACTTCTGTGTCCTTGAGTCACCGAGGACCTTCAGTTCTCAGACTGACGACCTAAACCCAGGAGACCCATCTTGTGCTCCATGCGCTAGCTCTCAGTCATGGGCATGCTCACCTCCTGGCTTCCTACATAACTGGAGCAGGGTTCCCCTGTATAAAAACCAGAGGCTACCACAGTCTCCACCAACGCTCTTCCTTCCCTCTACCCTTGCTCACACACACACACCCGTTCCTTCTGCACACTAGGACTGGAGTTGCTTCAACGTCCAAGTTCCCAGCCCGCCTCCCTCAAATGCACACCCTAAACCTTCGAGGGAGGCCCAAGCCTACAGTGTGACTGACACTTAGCCCTTTCAGAGGGCTGAATCCTGGGGGCACTGGGTGACGGGTGTTGCCAGGTTGGCGGGCTGGAGTAGCCCCTGACTGGTGGCATCCTGCCCGGTGTTTTGGGTGGTTTCCGAGGGTGGTTCGGTGAGCACCCCTCTAGCCCCATTGGTAGCCAAGGGCCTGGTATGGAGCGCGGTGCCCAGGTCGCGAAGGGTGTTTCGGAAACCCTCGGCGCTGAAGTAGTACACCAGCGGGTCGAGCACGCAGTTGGCGCCGGCCAGCAGCACCATCACCATCAGCACACCGCGCACCCGGTCGCGGGCCTCAGGGCTGGACTCCACCAGGTCGGCTCGCAGCAACCCGTACACGGCCAGC